GTCTTCCCTGTGACCCGAACCCCCTCGTCTCTCACCCGGGCTGTTGCAGTCACCTCTACCTGCTTGCCCAGCATCTACCCTTGAGCCCCGGCATCTCCAGGGTCTGTCCTCCACCAGTGCCTGGGGAGCCTTTCAAAACCTGAGCTGAGTCATGTCACTACTCTGTCTTCCAGAGGCTTCCGAGTGAATCCAGAACAGAGCCCAGAGCCCCTGTTGAATCTACATGGCCCCGTGGTCCGACTCCTCTCCCACACAGGCCACTCCGGCCTCCTTGACGTTTCTCCAGCATTCCCAGAGCGCTCCTACCCCAGGGCCTTTGAACTTGCTGCTCCCTCCAGGAATTCTCCTCCCAGGTGTCCTCTACCACCTTCCATCTCTCCTCACCTGTCACCTTATCAGGGAGGCCTTTCCTGATCCCCCAAATACCATCCTCTCTCTGTTACCCTCTGACCTCTTAACCAGCTTCAGGTTTTCTTGTTTTTTTTTTTTTTAAATTAACTAATTTGTGTGTTTATTGTTTCTCCCACTAAATGTTAGCTCCATGAGGGCAGGGACTCTATTTTATTCAGTGATGTACCCCCAGCTCCTAAAACACGTTGATGCTCAATAAATATTTGTTGAATGAATGAATGAATGAACGCGGGGCAGATGCTTGGCCCAGAGCCTGAGGCACGTACTCAGTAACCATCAGCTGCTGAGCGCTGCCATCCTAGAGCAATGAGCCAGCCCTGTAGGATCTGGAAACCCATGAAGGCGACCCTGTGCCCTGCCCCGCAGCCCTTTTCCATGCCCCCTCTGCAGTGGCATACCTTGTCTTCATCCCTTGGGTTCCAGTGCCTCTCCCGCATCGCCCTCATCCTCTGCAGGTGTGGGACCCCCGACTATTTGCACAAAGCTCTGGCTGTGAGCAAGGGGCTGACCTGTTACTTCCTCAAGGGATTCTTTACCTGTGACAGAGATCACAGCCGTGGGCTAAGGAGGCAGCTCTCAGGCCTGACTGCGCACAGAAATCCCCGCCCTAGCTGATTCTGAGGTTGGAGGCCTCAGACTCGGCCTTAGTCTGCTAGGGCTGCTATAACAAATACTACAGCCTGGGGGACTTAAACAACAGAAATTAATTTTCTTGAAGTGCTGGAAGCTGGAAGGCCAAGGCCAAGGTGCTGGCAGGGTCGGTTCCTTCTGAGGCCTTTCTCCTTGGCTTGTAGGTGGCCGTCTTCTCTCTGTGTCCTCACATGGCTTTCCCTCTGTGCTTCTGGTGTCCCTCCCTCTTAACATGAGGACACCAGTTCTATAGGATTAGGGCCCCACCCTTATGACTTCACCTCACTTTAATTACCTCCTTATAAGCCCTACCTCCAAATATAGCCACACTGGGGGTTAGGGATTCAACATATAAATTTGGCAGTGGGGGACAGCGGGGGACATGATTCAGTCCTTAACAGACCCCATGANATATAAATTTGGCAGTGGGGGACAGCGGGGGACATGATTCAGTCCTTAACAGACCCCATGAGCTACAGGACTCTAATTATGGACTTGCCAGCACCTGTTAATGGGCACAGAGCATGCGGTTCAGGAGGAGCGGGGCTTCCTCTGAGCCTTTGAAATCCCACCCACAGAAAGCTCGTGGGCTCTGATCCGAGCCCCTGAATCCCTCCCTCAAGAGCAGCTCTCCTTCCTTGTCCATGAGCAGGCCATGGTGAGGACCTGCCCCGAGAGACAGTAACAACATCTCAAATCAGGCATTTCTTCCTTCAATCACCACGGAGCTCCTGCGAACCACTGGGCTGTGTTAACCACATAGGGGAAGTTTAGGGATGACTGGGACACCATCCCTGTCCTCAAAGCGGCTGTGCACCAGAACCCCGCATGTTCTGTGGCCGGACCAGAAACCAGAACAACATGCTCGAGGAGTCCCCTGGTCCCATCCCCTGAGCTATGGCCAGGAGCAGAGCTGGGGTGGAGTTTGGCTGGTGCCATGAAATAGCCTCAGAGAAGGACCAGGGCTAGAAGAAAATTGACCCTCGAGTCTGCGACACCATGGATCCCATCCCTCTGCCCTCCCGGCATCCCCAGGTAGCCAGGTGACCACTTTTGCATTTCCCTGGCCTGCAGGTGATCCTTGGGAAGCTGTATGAGACCCGGAGCAGTCAGCTGAGGAAGTACAGCCCACCCGTGAAGCTGGACGCCCTCTGGCATATGCCTCACTTCCGGAAGGTCAGTGTCACCTTCATCTGCCCCTTCTTGCACCTACGGCTGGCCGTGCTCACCTTGCCTGGTCTTTACCTGTTGTCTAGACAGCTGAGTTGGGTGGGCTTCCAACCACCCAGCAGCAGCAGCAGCAGCAGCAGCAGCAGCAGCATCCGACATTTCCGAGCACCTCCACAGCCGGTGTTGAGCCCACTAACATCACCTCCACAACTCCGCACATGCACTGTGGGGAGAAGGCAG